GAAATCTGGTGGGGGACAGCTGTAAGAGTTCGGGAGGGAAGAGGGTGTCTATATTAAGATATATTATATGAAATGAACAAAAACTCAATACAAATACTGAAAATGCAGAGAGTCCTGTAACTTTTAGTAATCCTTGCATGTAATTTAAATTCTAGAGATAAATGTTGTTACAGACTGAATGTTTATGCCCCCATACTGATTTGTCTATTTAAGCCACACTATGCAGTATGGCTATAGTCCTTTTGGATTTAAACTTTCAGCCTTTAAATTAACCTTCAGAACACAGTAGGTTATTATTTGCAAATGTGTGGTTTCAGTGGTTTGTTATAGATGTACATATACACACAAATATCCATCAATATATCATTGGACACTTCAATTATTGTATATACATACAACAATATGATATTTCCTCCTTACAAGTAACAAAAAAGTTATAGTTGGCATATAATATTTTGAATAATTAAAATAATAGTAAAGCATAACTCAATGTGAAAGTAACAACTGGGTAAGGTAACACACCTTCCATCACTATGAAAGCAACCAGTAGAGATTAAACTTTAAAGTCATTACCAGCTTTATTTCTCCTGTTCATTCTCTGGCACAGATGTGTTGTGTCTTTGGCAATACAGTCTTACTGTAAAGTTCTGGTGGGTAACCAAGAGCAGGAGCCATATCCAGTAGTGTTTGAGGGTCTATGGAATCCCTGGTCAACATCTTCACAAGAGGGAGTCCATCTGTGGCATTGGGCTTTTTCTTTTGTAACCTATGGTGTCTAGTAGGAGCAATGTCCCACTGTTATGAGACAAGTTCTTTTATTCTCCTTTAATAATGTGTATGAATGTACTCTAAGAAGTATTTATCCAAAGTGGTAGGTTTCCATACAGCTTTCTCTAAAGGCCTTCAGTGTTAGTTATCCCTCCCAATACACCCTCCTCTGGCCTGTCCTCCCATTCCCCATCCCCGTTAAACCTTTCCTACTCTATTATTTATCTTCTGCCTTTAAATCACCCCACTTTCTCTCCCCTGCCATGAAGTATCCCCCCCACACACACACAATTCTTGGCCTTTCATTTATGTTTTGGAGTCCATGGATTTTCCAGTTAAAACATGTGTCTAAGAATTGAAACCTAGCAACCAGCTTTGAGAGAGAACAGTCAATTGTGGTAATTAATACCAGTACATTACAGTAAGGAGGTGATCCAGAAGGACTATGGGTTGAGGTCAGCCTGAGTTATATCTTTGTGGTTAAGGCAATCATTTTATTGTTTTTTATTTTATTCTTTTAATGTTTTATTTATTATTTTATGTGTATGAGTGTTATGCCTGCATGTAGGTAAGTGCAACCATTTTGTGCAATGCCCGTGGAGGACAGAAGAGGCTTTCAGATCCCCTGGAACTGGAGTTACGGACAGTTGTTAGCTGCCATGTGGGTGCTGGGATTCGAACCCGGATCTTCTGCAAGAACAGTGTTCTTAACTGCTGAGCCACCTCTCTATCCCAAGGCAATCATTTTAAATAACAGAAAATATTGTCCAGCCTTCTTTTAAATATGAGTCATAAATTAAAATGGTAGGAAAAGAAAATAAAAAATATTAGTAACAAGCAAGGAATTTTGGAGCAAATGTGAGAATCTACTAATTTAAAAAGGTTTCCCTCCACTAAGAAGGAGACCAGTACACAGAGTCTTATTGATTAAAGTTTTGATCATGGAATACCTCATAAAGTCATAAAAATAATCAACATTCATCTGTAAATGATATGGTATTATTAATCTATAAGTTCACAGGAACATATGGGTTATAAATTTTGGCAAACACATTATTTTCAGAGACAAAAGTGCCATTATGAGTTTGATATTTTTCTATAAATTTGACATTGCAAGCAAGGTCTCTTGGTTGTAGTTGGTATTAATAACTAATTATTAACTAGTAAAGAGGGGATTCATTCCAAGAGCCATGGATGAAATGGTTATTCACTTAGGTTGAATGCAGAGCAGAAGGGAGAAACTGCCTTGTACATTATTTCATGTATTTCGGTCATTTAAAATTATGCATTTGAAGTATTACTACAGGAATGCTCATACCAAAAGTTTTTGTTTACAAACACAAGGCAATTTGCCCATGAGAAACGACAAAGAAAAATATTGAAAGAATATTGTAAGGCTGCTTAAGAATCAGGTTTAGAGTGAAGCAGGAATTAATATAAGACAGGAGTGAAGATCATGTACTTGCTTGCTGTTGGAGGTGCACAGCTGGAGTTCCTCCTTGCTTTGAGCTACCACTGGATACTGACATAACTGCTGAATTAAATTATGTTCAAAATCGCAGTTGTTATGTTTGTTTTCTCTCATCCAAGTATATTCATCACTTTTCATAACTGTTATGAGTTTCAGAAATACATACTACATATATTATTGAAAATGCACTTCTGTATCTCTGCTTTAACACAGAAATCAACAGTGTAAAGAAAATCAGTCTTTCTACATATATGTAATGGGCTACAAAAGCCACTTTCTTCACCTTTTCCTCATGAATTATGCTTTGTTAAATAACTTAACATAAAGGGAAAAGTTGTGAATTTGATTTGAAAATCACACCAAATCGGGAGAAAGCATTAGGATAATAGCACCTTCTCTATATTTGTCAGCTTGGCTTCTAAGAAGAGCCACTAAATTCTCCTACGTAAAAATCTATGAGTTGACATTCAAAATCCTTGTCAAATAGAATAAAGTCACCAAAGTAATTTGGTATGAGTAGAGGGGAAAGCATATGAAGGCAATTACATCAGCCTCACGTTTTCTTGGAGGTGACTATTGAGACTTGAAAGAATTAGATTATTAATAAGAGTTCATCTTTGGAACTATGTAATAAGAAATAATTGTTGTGGGTTTGGACTCCCTTTCTCATGCCTGTAAAATTTTGGACCTGGAATGATATGACTTTCTTTTACATGTAAGGCAAGATTTTGAATCACTTGAAATTCAAACAGTGAAAAATATATCCTTGTTTTTGTAGAGTACTCTGAAATTTGAATAACACATTTGTCAGATATTAAACTCAAACTCTAATCCTACACAGTTCTTATACAACTGGTTAAATATTATTATTAATAAGCCTAATTAATTAGAAAAGATTCTTACAGTTGAGAATGCCTTACTGGTGTTATAAACTTTTCATTCCTAACTATACAAATCCCATTTTTTAAATTGTACATAAAAAATCATGTTATGATAGATGAGTAATTTTTTAAAAAGATTAATTGTATCCTCATGTCCACCTCCTTATAATTAATTTCCATCTACATAATAATTTATGCTTATTTGCAAGGTGGAAATTTATGTAATGTGAAAGTAAACTACCTAATGCTTTTACCAAGTTTTTATAATTTAATTTTTGTAAATTTCACACTGTATATTTTGATCAAATTTAGATCTCTTCCCTCATGTGCATGCCCCCAATTTCATGTACTCTAATATATGTGTGTGTATATATATAAACACACACATATAACAAAATTTTGCCTCTCTCTCTCTTTCTCTCTCTGTCTCTCTCTATATGTATGTATACACATATAACCAATAATGCTTTGGTGTGCCGTGTGCACCTACCCATTGGAGCATGACCAACTTACAACCATGTGTCTCATCTTTAAATGAGACTGACTCTCTTCCTCCAAGCAGCCATCAGAGGCCAGTATTTCCTCAGGTAGTTTGGGGTTTCTTACACACCTCCTCATGTCCATGCTCAGATTTTGTCTGGAACAAGCCACATTTTTAAATCAACATTAATTTTCTGAACATATCCTAACTCAGATACTTATCACTGCCAGACGTTCTTCAAAAATTTGTATCAAGTAAGATAGTAATTTCAGAATCAACCTTGTGTTTCATAAATCCTGTCATCTGTCTTCTAGAAAATTACTCATCTTGCTTTATTGTGTAATTATAACAAAGTCTAAGTTGGGCTCCCTGACATTTCTTTTATGAAAACATAACAACATTTTTTTCTTGGCACTTTTTTTTCCTTTTAAGATTTTCTTTATACAGCTGCTAAAATTGTGTGCTAAAATCCAATCTTCGCTGAAGTCGTTCTCACACTTGAAAACCTGTTTTTCCTGTATATAAAGTCCATTCCTTGTAGGATTATGAGAAGGACCCATGAACATCCTTGTACGTGGAAGCTTAGCATGTTGGGACTCTCACTCACATCTGACACAGCCAAAATGTGTGTCAAGGAGTGATTTTCAGCTCACTACATTTTCCCAAGGAGCTTAGTCTTTTCTACTTCCTAACATTTTCTTCTTCTTAATAAAGCAATTTAAGTACCCATTTTATTGTCGTCATGGTATTAATAGAAAACATGGAGTCTTTCCAATCAAAATCAATGAGTTACATGAAATTGATAATCAGTGTGCAATATGTGCAGCAATTTTGTATTACACCTAACAAAACCTAATATTACACATAAAAGTCTATGAGTGATTGGTAACTGAGGATGAATAGTGAAGATGGGGAAGTACATGTAAAATATAATCAGGCACAGGTGTTTATGTACATTCTGGAAGATTTACACGCACTCTTTGACTAATGTATTAGTTACTCTCATTGCTATAACCAAATACCTGACAAGAAGCATCTTAAGAGAAGGAAAAGGGATTGTTTTGGTACTGTGTTTGTGGATGTCTTTCGTGATGACAAAGGCAAGGCAGTTGGAGTGTGCAGTGTGTGTGCACATATAATCCCCAGTCAGGGAGCGGGAAGAGATGGATTGTGCTCCTCGGGCTTTATCTTTTCCCCCTTTATATTCAGTCTAGAATGTTGATGTCCAAGTTCAGGGTGGCTGTTCCCTCAGTTAAAGCTCTCCTAGATATGCACAGACGCACCGCTTCCAGTGGATTCCACACCTATTATCGTCATTCTGCAAAATACATAATTTCTATTCAGAGTGTAATTTAAAATTCACATTTTGTAATATTTATGAATTCTGTCTTCCCATTAGGTAGAAAATGATGATCTGTGTTCATCTACAGTGAAGACTCGGGATCCAATGGCTGTTGCAGCTGTTCTGCCTGTGCCTCAGGATGTAAACATGATCTGACCTTTCCCTGATGGGCAGCTATATCATGGACAGGCTAAACAACCTACTTTGGACTGTCCTTGGCATCTCTTTTGAATGCTCACTGAGCCCTTGTAGCCAACAAAGAAAGGAAGAACTGTGAACAGGAAAGTGATCTTACAATGAAACTTACGAGCACATCTTGCATCTGTCCAGTCCTCGTGTGTCTCTGTTTTGTGCAGAGGTGTTATGGAACTGCTCACCACAGTTCCATCAAGGTGACCAGAAACCAAACCAAGCACACTGAAGGGGAAACCGAAGTCCACCATCGTCCGAAGAGGGGATGGGTATGGAATCAGTTCTTTGTTTTAGAAGAACATATGGGACCAGATCCACAATATGTTGGAAAAGTAAGTTTGTTTTTCTTTTTATTAATTTTTGATTTATTTATTTGATTATTAGTTTTTCTTCTTTTTAGAAATCATGCATTGAAATAAATGTGGACTTGGAATATTAATTGAAGACACATGCAAAATGAAGTAAATAGTATCATAGAAAGCTGTTAATTTGTTTAGAAAACCAAAAGTAATTGTAGAAAAGTAGACAGTTTCTCAGACTACATCTTTCTTTAAAATATTTTTATTTTATGTGTATAAGTGTTTTGGCTGCTGGTATGTACGTTTGTCACATACAAGCTATGACTGGGAGGCCAGGAGAGGGTGTTAGATCCCCCAGAACTAACGTTGTTGGTGGTTGTCAGCTGTGATATGGGTCCTGGGAACAGAACCCAAGTCCTCTGCAGGAGCAGCCTGTGCTCTTAACTGATGAGCCATCTCCCAGCCCCTCAGATTACATCTTTTTAAACGATGTTTCATACATACTTAACCAACTAATCTTTCCCAATAACATTGCCATTTTCTCTTTTAAAGAGAGAAGTTTTACTTAAAAAGCAGTTAAGTACTTTTGTCTTTATTATCAAATTTACAATTGCACATATTGGTACAGTATTTTTGGAACATTTTTCTGATTGGTACACATGATGCTAAAAAATAAAAACAAAATAACTTTTTTTCCTAATATTTACTGTTTAAATTACTTAGGCATATTCTTATATTGGTCCTTTTCAGCTTGTGAATATTT